TTTTTCAATTAATCGATGTATTGATTTTCCCATTTCTTGACTTTCGAAGGTTTCGATATTCCTGTTCAATTCTTTAAATTTTCGATTTTTCAGGTTTTTGATTTTTCATTTTTTAGTTTTTTTAAGGTTGCGATTTTTCGACTTCACTTTATGGATTTTTCGATTGCTCAGTTTTTTGACTTTTTAGGTTCTCAGTTTTTGGATTTTTCAGGTTTTCCCATTTTTCAGTTTTTCTTTCATTTTTCAGTTTTTCGATATCTCAGTTTTGGGATTTTTCAATATTTTGATTCTTCGACTTTTCGATTTTTGACTCCTGGATTTTTCGATGTGTCGATTTTTTTACTTTTTCGATTTTTCAATTTTTCGATTTTAAATTTTAGATTTTTTAATTTTTAAAGTTTTAGATTTTTCGATTTCTCAATTTTTCATTTCAGTTCTGCGATATTTCAATTTTTCAAGTTTTCGAATGTTTCCAATGTTTCCATTTCTTAATCTTTTGATTTTTCGACTACCCGGTTTTGGATTTTCTGTTTTTCAATTGTCATTTTGTCAAATTTTCGATTTTTTAGTTTTTCAAATTTGACTTTTATAAACTCTCAATTTTTCGATTTTTCAAGTAATCTATGTTTTGATTTTCCCATTTCTTGACATTCGAGTGTTTCGATTTTCCCGTTCTTCAATTCTTTAATTTTTTTATTTTTCAAGTTTTTGATCTTTCAATTTTTCGATTTTTTAAGGTTTCGACTTCACTTTATGGATTTTTCGATTGCTCAATTTTTTGACTTTTTAGGTTCTCAGTTTTTGGATATTTCAGTTTTCAGATTTTTCAGGTTTTCCCATTTTTCAGTTTTTCTTTCATGTTTCAGTTTTTCGATATCTCAGTTTTGGGATTTTTCAATATTTTGATTCTTCGACTTTTCGATTTTTGACTCCTGGATTTTTCGATGTGTCGACTTTTTTACTTTTCGATTTTTCAATTTTTCGATTTTTAAATTTTAAATTTTTTAATTTTAAAAATTTTTGATTTTTCGATTACTCGATTTTTCATTTCAGTTCTTCGATATTTCAATTTTTCAAGTTTTCGAATTTTTCAAATGTTTCGATTTCTTAATCTTTTGATTTTTCGAATTCGCGGTTTTAGATTTTCTGTTTTTCACATGTTATTTTGTGAAATTTTCGATTTTTTAATTTTTCAAATTTGACTTTTATAAACTCTCAATTTTTAGATTTTTCAATTTATCGATGTTTTGATTTTCCCATTTCTTGACCTTCGAGTGTTTCGATTTTTCTGTTCTTCAATTCTTTAATTTTTTTATTTTTCAGGTTTTTGATTTTTCAATTTTTCAGTTTTAGGATTTTTCAATATTTCAATTCTTCGGTTTTTCTATTTTTGACTTCTGGATTTTTCGATGTGTTTTACTTTTTCGATTTTTCAATTTTTGGATTTTTAAATTTTAGCTTGTTCAATCTTTTGATATTTTAGTTTTTCAATATTTCTTAGTCTTTCGATTTTTCCACTTCCTGGTTTTAAATGTTCTGTTTTTCAATTTTTCGATTTGTTTTTTTTTCATTCCCGATTTATCGAGATTTGATTGTTCAGGTTTTCGATTTACCAGATTTTCAATTTTTTATTTTGGCCTATTTCAGTTTCTCATTTTTTCCAGCTTTCCATTTTTTCGTTTTTTTATTTTTCCGCTTTTCCAATTTTTCAATTTTTAACTTTTTGTTTGTCGATTTCTCTATTTTTCAATTTTTCGACTTCTCGTTCTTTTGATCATTCAATCTCTCAATTTTTCAATTTTTCGGATTTTAAGTTTTTTGATTTCTCGATTTATCGAGATTTGGATTTTCCAATATTTTGATTGTCAATTTATAAATTGTTCAATTTTTAACTTTTCGATTTTTCGACTCCATGATTTCTTGATCTTTTGATTTTTCGATTTCTCGGTTTTTCGATTTTCCAGTTTTTCGATGATTCGATAAGGGTGGTTTTGCAAAATCAGACTGTATGTCGCATCTATATTAATCTATGGCTCTATTGAAAAAATTCCTTCAGTGCCGCCAACGCTATTTTTATTAAAAACAATACAGGGAAATTTGTTATTACGAGTATACCAACCTTCTCTGATTCTTTGGTGATTTATCTTTTATTTTACAAATTTAAAATTGTCAACAATCTGTCAATCTTAACAGCTGATAACCGAAAATTACAAATTGTTAGTTTGTTGAAATAATTTTATGGATAAGTTTATTGTTGGTGTGGAAGCATTTTTTACAGATTCTCCAGTTTTCGATTTTACGATTTTTCAATTATTCCATTTTTTGTTTTGTTAGTTCTCCGATTTTACAGTTTTTTGAGTTTTAAATTTTAGTTTTTAATTTTTCAATTTCGTGTTTATTTTTCAGCAAAAGAACAAATTTATCCAAACTAAAATATTGGAAAATCGGAAAATTGTATAACTGAAACAATAAAGAATATGAAAATTTTAAAATAAAAAATCCAAAAATTTCAAAATGAAAATCGAAAAAAAAATCCCGAAATTGAAACATCAAAAAATCGAAAAACGAAACCATTTTGCAATTTTTCAATTTTAAAGTTTTCAAGTTCTTGATTTGCAATTTTAATCAAAATGAAATTTTCCAAAATCGAAACATTAAAAAATGTAAGAATTATTAAAAATGCAGAAATTGAAAAATCGACAAAACGAAAAAATTCTGCAATTTTTTGATATTAAATTCTTCAAATTCTCGATTTTTCATTTTTTAATTGTTCAACAAAAGGACAAATTTATTCAAAATGAACTTTTAAAAAACCGAAAAATTGTAACACTGAAACATCAAAAAACAAATGAATTTAAAAATCGAGAAATTGAAAGAATCAACAAAAAGAAATAATTTTGCAGTTTTTCGATATAAAATTTTTCAATTTTTAATTCTCTATTTTCTCGATTTTTCAATTGTTCAACAAAAGACAAATTTATTCATTCCGAAACTTTGAAAAATTTAAAAATCAGAAAATTGTAACATTGAAACGTCTAAAAATTATAAAATTGAAAAATCAAAAAATTTTAAAATTGAGAAGTCGAAGAATTGAGAAAACCGAAAAAATGAGAATCAAAAATTGAAAAATCGAAAAATGAAAAAATTGAGAAATTGAGTTGGATAATTAAAAAATCGAAAAATTGTAATATTGAAACCTGAAAACCCTGATTAATTAAAAAACGAGAAAGTGAAAAATTGGAAAAACGAGAAACAAAAACTTCTATGAATGAAATAGTCAAAAATACAAAAAAAAATCAAAATCAAAAATTTTAAAATGAAAACTGGAAAACTAAAAAAAAATAAGGAATTGTAAAAACGAAACATGGAAAAATTAAAAAATTGTAACATCGATAAAACGAAACACTGAAAAACCGAAAAACTTTAAATTTGAGAAATCGAAGAATTGAAAAAATACAAAAACTGAAAAATCGGATAATGGAAAAGCCAACAATTGTACAATTGAATAATAAAAACCCTAATAATTATTTGAAAAAAGTGAAAAATTAAAAATCGGCAAATTTAAAAATGAAACAATTACAAACTTGTAAATTTGAAAAAAAAAAATTAAAAATGGAAAAATTGAAGAAATAAAAAATTAAAAATCAAAAATTGAAAAACCAAACTTGAAATATCGAAAAAAATTGAAAAAATCGGCGAAATTGACTAACTAAAAAAGCATTTAAAAAATGGAACAACTGAGAAAAAGATAGAAACTGTAAAATCGAAAATTTGTAACATTGGAACCTGAAAAAGTGAGAAATTAAAAATAGAGGAATTGAAAAATCGAAAAATACAAAAATTTTACTGAAAATTAAAAATCATAATGAAAATCGAAAAAACTAAAAATTCCTGAAATCGAAAAATGTAAAAACAAAACACGGAAAAATTGAAAAATTAACAATTAAAAAACCAAAAATTTAAAAATCTCGAATTGAGAAAATAAAATTCCAAATATTAAAAAATCACAAAGTCGGAAAATTCTAACACTGAGACATCGAAAAATTAAAAACTGAAAAATCATTGAAAACCGAACAATTTAAAAATTGAGAAATCAAAGAACTGCAAAAATAAAGAAACTCAAAATCGAATAACTAAGAGGTCAACAATTGGAAAAGGAAAAATTGTAACCTTAAAAAAGAAAAAAACTGAAAATTTAAAAAGCAGAAAAATCGAACAATTGCAAAATTGAAAATCAAAAATAGAAAAAACGAAACTTGAAACACCGAGAAATTTAAAAATTGTAATCTTTATAAAACTTGAGAAACTGAAAATTTCGGTAATGGAAAAAACAGCTGAAAATTTGAAAAACTGAAAAAAAAGAAACTATAAAATCGAAAAACTGAAGAAACAAAATTTTCTAGAAATAGAAAAATCGACAAATTGTAAAATTCAGAAGTTGAAGAATCGAAAAACTAAAATATCTAGACACTAAAAAATCGAACAATACAAAAAATAAAAAACTGAAGAATCGACAACGAAAAATTAAAAAATGCAACGACTCCCAAATAAAAATCGAAAAACTGACAAATTCTAAAATCGGAAAGCTAAGAATCAAAAATTAATTAAATTAAAAAAAAATGCTCAAACCACACGGATGAAAGCAATAATATTCGACTTTGGGTCAGTTTGAATTTAGCGCCGACGTACTTTGTTGTAATTGGTCGGCACGGGTGCGGAAAGCAATGAGTTACCAACTGCCAACAGTACCAACCAAAAATAAGTACAATTTTATTTTGCAGCAAATCCAGCACTAGAATAAAAATAATGCAAAAAAATTACCAGAATGTGGTTTGTTCTAAATTCGTGAAAAATAATCATTAAACGGGGAGGATCAATCACCAGATGATCACCAATTTGGAAATAAATTAACTAAATTGGCAATACCCAAGGCTGCATTGTTATTGGTTGATTTTGTCACGTGAGCTAAAACTGCAGTTTGGCCACTGGTGTAAAATCGAAACTCTCCAAATAGTGATGTGTCAATACAACCTCACTTTCTAATCAACCTATAAATTTCTTTCTTGTTTGCAAGGAAATATCGCAGCTGTGGTATTCATTTTATTCACTAATTAGTAATGGCCGCAGCAGACGAAACTTTCGAACAGGTCTCATTCACCATTTAGTAATTCTTGAGAAATAATATTTGTGTTCTAGTTTGAAGAAGACGATGGAACGGACACCACTCTTGCGCTATGTAGCGCAGGCCGAAAACGCCTATTCAGTAAAGAACTGCGTTGTATGATGTATGGTTTCGGTGATGACCAAAATCCTTACACTGAAAGTGTTGACATTATTGAGGATTTGGTGATTGAATTTATAACAGAAATGACACACAAGTGAGTACACAGTCACAGTACGTACGAAATATTATTTTTGTTTTAATTAAGGTGCATGGAAATTGGCCGCACTGGAAGGGTCCAAGTTGAAGACATTGTGTTTCTAGTCCGGAAAGATTCACGCAAATACGCCCGCGTTAAAGACCTGCTAACCATGAACGAAGAACTTAAGCGTGCGCGTAAAGCTTTTGACGAAATTAAATTTGCAGGTAATATTAAATAAGATGTTTAATTTTTCTGCATGATGTTTGATGCATTTGTAGAAAAGTTAGAAGTGTCGAGGTGACTGTGAAACTAGTGTTATTTTGTTCAGGTTTGTTATCTTTAATAGTGATGGAATTATTTTTTACGTTATTAGGATTAAGTGGATTATTTTGGAATCTGGAAAGGTTTTTGATTTTTGGTCTTTTTGCATGCTGAGTATGTAAATGACTCAAGGAGTTTAATGGTTTTTGTTCGATTTCAGGGAAAGACGCTCTTATTAATTAATTTTTTCTCAGATGAGAGTAACGTAAGCCATCTCTATTTAAGAACAATTAATTTGTAAGGAATATATATTTTATATTTAAAGCGGCGAGGTACAAGTTGGTTAATAAAAATAAAAATTTATGAAAATTATTATACATGTACTAAGCTATTTTATTGACGGCATTCCTTGCTGACATAATGACGTCATTAATTCCTACACCGTAGTACGAGGCACCACAGAGAGATATAGGTAAGTTATGGGTATCAATATAATCATTAATTTTTTGTAGAGTGTCATCATGGCCCACAATGTACTGAGGCAAACACTGATGCAAAATATTCACCTTGGACGTTTCTGGCTCACTCTGTACATTCAAAATGTGTTTGACTTGACTTATGGCAATTTCCAGCAACTTTTGTTCCGTGGGGTTTTTCCCAAAGTGTTGTTCAAACCAATAGCCGCCCATCATCACAGTCAAAGCAGTACCAGAACTTTTCCCAGAGAAGCAACAACTGTCGAAAATAATTCCCAAAATGGGCAAATTTTCCTTAGGAGCAACAAGAACCCCAAAAGCTTGATCTTTCAAAATGTTATCTTTAAAATGAAGATTGACAACCCCAACTGATACGTTTTTAGCCAAATTGGTCAAAAGATTACCCAAATCTGGGTGCTGGTTTTGCACCAAAGCACCCAAAACAGCTGATGGTACAGCACTTATTACATGATCAGTGGAGATTGTTTTATTGTCACTTAGGGTTAAAGTCGCTTGTTTTCCATCAAAAGTTACCGACTTACAACTAGTATTCAACTTAATGTTAACGTTATTTTTGAGAAGATTCTCGCTTAAAGCTAACGGCAAGGTTTCACAACCACCAGTGAATGAATAAATGCTCCATTTTTGTTGTTTTGCTTTTACAGCTAAAGGCCCGAACACTTTCTTCGGCTTTTTTACTTTTCTTTGGGCGGAAAAGTACTTAAAAGCTCCAACTATAAGACTCCCATACCCTTGTTCCAACTCAAACATTTTCCTCATTAAAAATTTCACGCTGATTTCGTGCGCATTTCCCGCACATATCCCACAAATCATCGGACTGATGAGATTCTCAGCGATTTCCTTCCCGAATCTTCTCTCCACGAAGTCGTAAATGGGCTCATCATGCACGTCTTTCTTTTTGGCGAATAAGTCGTTGAAAAGGTAGGCCCCCATGGGTTTACTAAAGAGGGTACTTTTCGTGATGAATTGGATTCCCGTGTTTGGCAACGAATTCAAGCGGCCGTGGGCGTAAATCAGGCGATTTTTGGCTGCCGGGTGACTCGACACAATTGGGAGGATTTTGTTGCCTAGATTGAGGTCTTCGACAAGCTGAAGAGTGTTGAGGCCGGCGTCTCCTGATATGCGAAGTGTGCGGGGGCCTTGTTCGAACACGATTCCGTTTTGTTGTGGGGTGGATTTAACCCAGCCGCCGGTGCGTGCGGACGACTCCAGTAGGGTTATTGCGGGTTTGGGGGCCGTCTTGGCGAGGTAATAGGCGGCTGATAGGCCTCCGAGGCCACCACCGAGGACAACTTTGCTCATTTTTCGATCTACGAGGAACGACTTTAAAAAAAAAATGCAATGAAACTGGAAAGTTGCGCAATTGTAAATTGACCCTGATAAAGCGAGGTTATGTAGTTAAAAATACTTCTGAGTGTTTATCTTATCAATTATCTATTCTTAGTACTGCAGTTTCACTGTTACATTGCTGTACCTACAATGTCAACTACTGTAATTAATTAAATACTAAAAATACAAATCATTGTTTATAATAATTAGTAATTATTTTCCTGTCAAATGGGTTCCTGTGTGTGTACAAAATGATAGTAGTGCCATTAGTAGTGCCAACTGATAATAGAGGCCGCCACCACATTGAATGACAGTTGGTTTGATTGGTTTTTGTTTCTGTTGCGATACTTTTAGAATAAAAATAAGATATTTGTGGCATCAAATAAAAAAAATTCCACCTTTTCTTCCTATGGTATTTCTTCGCGATTTCTTGTGTTCTGTTAATTTTGACACACATTGAAACATATTAAAAAAAATGCAAAATGTACAGTAGCGGTCATTTCTACGGAACCACTCGATAAAAAGTCAAGTTGGTAGCCCTGTCATCTAGTACTTTACGCCGAACGCGGTTGGTAGCGGTAGTTGACATGGCAGTCGAAACTAGCACAACACGAATGTTTCGGTTGCCCTCAGTTATGCCGCACTGTATCCCGTGCAGACTGTATGTTCTGTTCATCTATTTATTAAAATAAAATATCTACATTGACAATAGGGCGATCTAACCTGTCAAATTTTTGACACATATGTTTTCCCCCAGAAACCCGTCAAGGTCACTTACACCAAACAAATTTCGAAAATTTACACTAGGGAGTGGTTCTATAGAAAAGATCGCGACTTTAGAAAAATCTGAACTCCAAATTCACTTCCTGTTAATTTATCTGATTTTGGCAAATGACACATCTTCTAAAAAAATAGAGGGCGGGTGGGCGGGGCTAGTACCTGTTAAGATAACACTGATTTTGACAAATGACATTCTACAAGGAAATAGAGGGCGAGTGGGCGGATCTATTGCTTGTTTATAGCTAAACTTAGCCCCGCCCACCCACCCGTTCTCTCATTTTTCTTCTAAAATAAGAAATAAATCTTAAAGTAGATAGTTGGTATGTATAACAAAAAAAATACGATTGGCCATTTTTTTTCTTTTTTAGTAAACTTGATCTCTTTATTTTTTAGTAAACTTAAAATGCAGTTTCGTGCAGGTCGTCCTTTTCATTTTTTTCGTCCTGTTTCGTCCTTTTCGTCCTTTTCGTCCATTTTCGTCCTTTTCGTCCATTTTCGTCCTTTTCGTCCTTTTTCGTCCTTTTCGTGCTTTTCGTCCTTTTCAACCTTTTCGTTCTTTTTCGTCCTTTTCGTCCTTTTTCGTCCTTTTCGTCCTTTTCGTCCTTTTTCGTCGTTTTCGTCGTTTTCGTCCTTTTCCATCCTTTCCCTCCTTTTTCGTTCTTTTCGTCCTTTTTCCTCAATTTTTCAGATTTTCGATTTATCAATTTCTCGAATAATTGATTTAATTTCTCGACTTTCCAATGTTTGGATTTTTCATTTTTTCAATTCTGCAATTTTTCGATTTTTGAATGTTTCCATTTTCAGGTTTTTGATTTTTCAATTTTTCAGTTGAGGGATTTTTTAACTTTTATATTCTTCGACTTCTATTTTTCGTTTTCTCAGTTTTTTACTTTTTTGATTTTTCTGTTTTTCGATGTTTCAGTTTTGGGATTTTCAATTTTTCAATGCATATTTTAATCTTTGCATTTTTAAAATTGTAGACTTTTCGATTTCTCAATTTTTCGGTTTTCGGTTCTTTGAGTTTTCAATGTTTCGAATTTTTGAATATTAGATTTTTCAGTTTTTTGATGTTTTGATTCCTGTCTTTCAATATAATTTGACTTCTCGGTTTTAGATTTTTCGGTTTTTCAATTTTTCGGTTTTTAAAATTTTTCATTTTCCAATTATTCGTTTTTTCACTTTTGTGTTCTTTCAATTTTTCAATTTCTCGATTTGTCGAGATTTCGATGTTTCCATTTTTTTGTTGTTTAATTTTTCGATTTGTCAATTTTTTGTATTTAAAATTTTTCAGTCTTTTGGGATTTTTTAATTTATCCATTCTTCAACTTTTCTTCCATCATTTTTCTCAATTTTTTACTTTTTCAATTTTTCAATTACTCAGACGATATTTTGGTTTTGGGTTTTTATAATTTTCCGATTCTTCAAATTTTCGATTTCTCAATTTCATCGTTTTTCGATTCCTCAATTTTCCAATTTTTCGATTTTTTAATTTTTGAAGTTTTAAATTTTCTATTTTTTGATTTTCCGTTTCTCGGTTTCTCGACTTTTCAGTGTTTCGATTTTTCAGTTCTTCAATTTTTAGACTTTTCGATTTCTCGCCTTTTGAATTTTTCATTTTTCAATTTTTCGATGTTTCAGTTGTGGGATTTTTCAACTTTTAGATTCTTCAGTTTTTCTTCCATTTTTGAACTTTCCGACTTCCGTTTTTAGTTTTCTCGGTTTTTACTTTGTCGATTTTCCAATTTTTCGATTCTTAATTTTTTCTTCCATTTTTAATTTCTTTTTTTATTTAAAATTTTAGATTTGTCAATTTCTCAATTTTTCGGTTTTTCAGTTCTTTGAGTTTTCGATGTTCCGAATTTTTGAATTTTAGATTTTTCAGTTTTTTTGTTTTGATTTCTCGATCTTTCAATTTTCGGCTTCTCGGTTTTAAATTTTGCACTTTTTCAATTTTTCGATTATCCAGATTTCGATGTTTCGATTTTTTTATTGTTCTATTTTTTGGTTTATCCATATTTTTTATTTTAAAATTTTCAATGTTTCAGTTTTGGGATTTTTCAATTTAGCAATTTTTCGTCCTTTTTCGTCCTTCGTCCTTTTTCGTCCTTTTTCGTCCTTTTCGCCCTTTTTCATCCTTTTCGTCCTTTTTCGTCCTTCGTTCTTTTTCGTCCTTTCTTTCTTTTTGGTCGTTTTTCGTCCTTTTTCGTCCTCGTTAGTCCTTCGTCCTTTTTTGTGCTTTTCCGTCCTTCGTTCTTTTTCGTCTTTTTCGTCCTTTTTCGTCCTTTGTCGTTCTTCGTCCTTCTTCTTGCTTCGTCCTTTTTCGTCCGTTTTCATTTTTTATCGTCCTTTCTCGTCCTTTTTCGTCCTTTGTCCTCTTCGTCCTTTTTCGTTTTTTTCGTCCTTTCTCGTCCTTTTTCGTCCTTCGTCCTTTTCGTCCTTTTTCGTCCTTATCGTCCATTCTCGTCTTTTTTCTTCCGTTTTCGTCCTTGGATCTTTTTCGTCCTTTTTAGTCCTCTTTCGTCTTTCGTCCTTTATCGTCTTTTTTCTTCCTTTTTCGTCCTTCGTTCTTTTTCGTCTTTCGTCCTTTTTCGTCGATTTTCTGGTTTTAAAATAAAAAAAAGACCAATGTTACATAGTTTTCTAATAAATAACATACATTAAAATTATTTTCAACTATAATGCAATGTAATAAGACTATACAGATGGACATATAATTAACCCCGCCCGCCCACCCACCGCGCTTCCATTTCAGGATTCATTTTATCTGATCCGAATTAAAGTTGGATCTTATAGTGAACAGAAATAAGACCGTTAGAATGAAAACAGTGCGAGAAGGCGGGGCTAGAACTTGCTAGGATAAGACTGATTTTGGCAGATGACATACCTTCTAAGAAAATAGAGGGCGGGTGGGCGGGGCTAGTACCTGCTAAGATAACCTGATTTTGGCAAATGACATATCCTACAAGGAAATAGAGGGCGGGTGGGTGGGGCTAATAGTTGCTACGGTAAGACTGAACAGTTTTAAGAGTAGGCACTAGAATAAAGAGTAGGCGGATGGGCGGAGCTATTGCTGGCTTATAAAAGTCTCTGCAGGAAAAAGTTAAACTTAGCCCCGCCCACCCACCCGATCTCTCATTTTTCTTCTAAAATAAGAAATAAATCTTAAAATAAATAGTATAACAAAAAAGTTACGATTGGCCTTTTTTTTCTTTCTTAACAGCCGCACTCTCATTCTACAGAAAAACTTACAGTTAACCCAACCCACCCACCCCGTCTCCATTTCAGTGATTCATTTCATCGGCGTGGGTGGGTGGGCGGGGTTAGTACCTGTTAAGATACAAGGAAAAAGAGGGCGGGTGGGCGGGGCTAGTAATTGCTACGATAAAACTAGATAGTATTAAGAGTAGCCACTTGAATGGAGACTGTGTAAAACAAAACTAAACTCAGGCCCGTCCACGTCCTTTCCTCATTTCACTGTTTTCTGTTGTCCTCTCTGTTCTTAGGGTAATTATTTTTCTAAAGTCAGTTTTATCTTAGCAAATACTAGCCCCGCCCACCCGCCCTTTATTTTCTTAGAGACTATGTTATCTGCCAAAATCGCTCTTACTTTAGCAGGTACTAACCCCGCCCGCCCACCCTCTTTTTTCTTAGAGGGTATATTATTTGCCAAAATCAGTTTTATCTTAGCAGCTACTTATAGTTTGCCTTTTTTCTTGATACACGTAGTCGTCTTTTCGATATTTCATTAATTCTAGTTCTAGTTTTACCACTAATAAGAAAAAAAGTTTTTTAAATAGCATACAGTAAAATCTGTTCAACTATACACAGTGTAATATCATATTAAAGAATTGGGAGAAAAAATAACAATCACAGACAACGAAAGAAAAATTTGCTCAGATAAGCCTGATTTTGGCAGATGCCATATCCTCTGAATAAACAGAGGGTGGGTGGGCGGGGCTAGCACTTGCTAATATAATATTGATTTTCTCTTACTAAAGTTGTAAAAACTTGTTAAATTTAAATTTCATATTTTATTAGTAACGAGTTAAATTCCTAAATCTGACTGGATATTTATTTTTTTACAACTCAGTCGTTAATTTTTCTGAGACACCTTGTATAAGCAAATTTCAAAAATATTAATTAAATACTAAAAATAAATCACAAGTATGGACTCATCATATTTTCCACATTTTGGGTGGATTCAGGAATTTAACTCGTTACTACGGAAATTTGTAATTTAATAACTATAAATTTTACAAGTTTTTACAAAATTAATAGGGCCAAAATCAGTTTTATCTTAACAAATACTAGGTACTATTTTCCCAGAGGATCTAATTTGCCAAAATCAGTCTTATCTTATGAAGACCTACCCCCGACCACCCGCCCCCTATTTTCTCAGAGTTTATATCATTTGCTAAAATCACTCTCATCTTATCAAGTACTAGCCCCGCCCACCCACCCCTCGTTTTTCAGAGGATATGTCATTTGCCAAAGTCAGTCTTATCTTACCAAGTACTAGCCCCGCTCAACCGCCCTTTATTTTCTCAGAGGGTAGTACTTGCCAGTACTTGCTAAGATAAGACTGATTTTGGCAAATGGAATATCCTCTGAGAAAAGAGGGGGTAAGATAAGACTGATTTTGGCAGATGACATATCCCTGAAAAGAAAACTAAAAGTCATATCCGCTTTCATTTCTTCGATATCTTCAGTGGTTCTTCCAAAATCGTCCTTTGAAATGTACAAAAATGTGCAAAATTCCACCAATTTTTGGACCAATTTTCAACAAAATTTTCGAAATTTCACTAAATACATTTTCTTGTAGATTTCGGGCCGCAGAAGTTATATCCGCTTTCATTTCTTCGATAACTCCAATGGTTCTTCCAGAATCGTCCTTTGAAATGCACAAAAATGTGCAAAATACCACCAATTGGACCAATTTTCAACAAAATTTTCGAAATTTTACTAAATACATTTTCTTGTAGTTTTCGGGCGGCAGAAGTCATATCCGCTTTCATTTCTTCGATATCTCCAATGGTTCTTCTAGAATCGTCCTTCGAAATATACAAAAATATTCAAAAAACCACCAATTTTCAACAAAATTTTCGAAATTTCACTAAATACATTTTCTTGTAGATTTCGAGCCGCAGAAGTCTTATCCGTTTTCATTTCTTCGATATCTCCAATGGTTCTTCCAGAATCGTTCTTTGAATTATACAAAATATGCAAAATACGACCAATTTTCGACCAATTTTCAACGAAATTTTCGAAATTTCACATAATACTTTTTCTTCTAGATTTCGAGCCGCAGAAGTCATATCCGCTTTCATTTCTTCGATATCTCCAATAGTTCTTCCAGAATCGTCCTTCGAAATATACAAAAATATGCAAAATACCACCAATTTTCTACCAATTTTCAAGGAAATATATATTTTATTTTCTCAGAGGATATGTCATTTGCCAAAATCAGTCTTATCGTCATACCCTGTGAAAAAATAGGGGGCTGGTGGGCGGGGCTAGTACTTGCTAAGATAAGATTGATTTTGGTAAATGACTATGAATAATATTAAGAGTAATCACTGGAATGAAAAGGAGGATTGCTTGCTTATAAACGTTTTTTAAGAAAAAGTTAAACTTAGCCCCGCCCACCCTCCCGTTCTCTCATTTTTTTCTTCAGAAATAAGAAATAAATGTTACAGCAAACAAGTAGTACAACAAAAAACGTTACGATTGATGCTTTTTTTTTAGCAGCCCGCGTTCTATTAGTTCCCATTCTCACTTTACAAAAGAACATATAATTCATCACGCCCACCCACCCCTCCTCCATTTCAGTCTTATCTTAGCAAGTACTAGCTACGATAATTAAGATAATGTGTGAAACTATGGGAGAAAGAATAAAAAAGAGTTTTTTTGTCCTTTGAACACTTCGAATATTATCCATGGACGTTTTTTTTTGTGGATTTCGAGTTGTAGACTCGGTGAAATATATTCATAAATCAGATTTACATTTCACCATTAGTTGGGACATAAAACTTTAAAAAAGTTTAAACCGATTTAAATAAATTTTGATCACGTCATAGCGTTCTAGAAGGGATACAGGAACCCGTAACTAGCATCTTATAGGGTTATTTACGTGCAAGAATGTTATCAGCGCTTTGCTTATTGGCTCTATAGAAAAATACAAGTTTTTTACTCCGTACTATAATTGTATAATAATTGCAGTCTCTTATATTTAATGGCCACTTATCATAATCATGACATCATTTAGGTTAATTCCTTACTTATATAAATAATTAATAGTAGTAATAATTAACAGAAATGAAGAAAAATTGAGAAAATTATGTCCCGTCTATTTTAGTAATGAAAACATACGTATGATATTTCTTTTTTTTTCATAATAATAAAAAGAAACGCAGAATAACATTTTGAATTTTCCAAACATAAAATCATAATGATAAAATGGTGTTAAAGTAAAAGTTCCTAGATTTGACACTTACTTGACTGACTTGGTCAATTGAACTTAACCTTAAAATTCCCACTTAACCTCTCCCACTGAACCAAAAAATGAGTTTCGACGGTTATAAAACAACTATAGAAGAAGGAGACACCGTAATTTTGTACCTGACCATAAACCAAGTTTACAGTGTTCGTGCCGAGGCAAAAACCACAAGCAAAAAGGGCGTAGAAGTGGACAACGTGTTTCAAACCCCCTACGGAGCCCTAAAATGCGCGGAACTAATAGGAAAATCGTACGGTTCGAAAATATCACTTAGTAAAGGTTGGGGCTATGTGATGCAACCAACGCCCGAATTATGGACCCTCACTCTCCCCCATCGGACCCAAATCATCTACACCCCAGACATCAGCATGATCCTCCTCCAGCTCGAAATAAAACCAGGAAGTATCGTCGTAGAGAGTGGCACCGGTAGCGGCTCCCTGTCTCACGCTTTAATCAGATCCGTGAAACCCACCGGTCACCTTTATACGTTTGATTTTCACGAAAATCGAGTGAAATTAGCTGACATCGAGTTCAGTCAGCACGGTTTGAGTGACTACGTTACGGTGGCACAACGCGATGTTTGTGACTGCGGTTTCGGGGCGGAGTTGCAAAATCGGGCAGATTCGGTCTTTTTGGATTTACCACACCCGTGGCAAGCGATACCGCATACGTTGGATGTGATAAAGGAATCAGGGGGGAGAATTTGTTCGTTTTCGCCGTGTATCGAGCAGGTGCAGAAGAGTTGTGGGGTTTTGTCGAAATTAGGGTTTCAGGAGATTCAGACTATGGAGGTTCTTCAGACTTCGTATGCGGTGCAAACGAAAAGGCTGCCAGTGCTTGATTTGGACTTTCTTCAGAGCGAGAAAGATGGTAGTGAGAGTAAGGGGAAGGAAAGAGAGGTTGTTAAGTGCCTCACGGCAGTGCCTCCTGCGAATATGCCGGGGCATACTGGGTATTTGACTTTTGCGACGTTGCCCCCAGTGTGGGCTAGGAATCTTCAGATTAGTTTAAATCAACAGGAAAGTAGTGGTGAATTGCTGTGAATAAATAAATTGTTGGACAAAGTTTGTTTAATCTGAATAAATGTAATTTTTATACACGACACAGTTTTATTTTTGCCAGTTGAATTATATTACAGGTTGTAATTAAATTAGTACGATAAGCAGTAAAATAATTCTTCTTGTTTTTCCTATTCCATTTTGAAGAAACAAAAAAACGGGTTTTAAATTTTGCATGTAGGCAACCAGTAATACAGATGTGGATCGAAATAGCATAAAGTTTTTATCTTCCATTTGTATTATTTTCTGATTTATCTTTAAATATTTAAATAATACTGTTGAATATAAGTTATATTCAGTATATATTTATACCTTGGAATATTTTAAATACATAAATATTCAAAAAAATTTGTCCGAAGGGGACTCGCTAGACGAGGTATAACATTTTTTTGGTTTTTTGTATGAAAAAATGATATTAATATAGATGTATCTACATCAAACTGCAGCTTTTTTCATATTCTAGAGCGCAGAGACCAGTTCAATCAATTAAAAAAATATGGCTGAGAAATATCGTAAAAAAAGCACCATTGTATGTTTTCTTTTCAAGTTTTTTGAGCCATAACCATCATAGAATCGCTTGAAAATTCGCACATGGATAAAACATCACTTTTTACAGGGCGCAGAGTCATCAAATGTTTGTTAGTGGTACAATTTGTTTAAATAATAATGTGTTTATTAAAATCAAAATATACCACAAATTAATGCAAAATACGTCGAATAATTTTAACAGAAATATCAGAGGAAAATTAATGATCTATTGGTTAGCAGAGTTTTTAACAAAAACTAACAATTATTGAAAAAAATGGGTATCAATTCGACAGAATTTGAGCAGTTAGTTCAGTACTTTGCCGATAGAAGCGCCACTAAAATTTACGGAAGCGACTTTCCAGGTAAAACCCTTATCGCCTGCTCTACCATAAGCTGATTGTTAGAGTTCTCCGCTGATTTTTTTAATTTATGGCAAGGGACTCAGTTTTATAACAAACCTCCAGGACCGGCCGCAGTAATCTATTGTTAAGGAAATTAACTTTTACGCAATGAGGTACTATCATAAAACCGAATTAAAATTGGGGAACTATAATATTTTTACTCCACTCAGGATCCTGAATTCAATACACATGATTACTAAAAATTCATTATAATATTATTGTTAATATATATTTTGCTTTGTTAATTAATAAAACTAAAACATATTTATAATAATAATAATAAATATATAAAATACAGCTTTTGTTTAACACGTATAAGTAGTTAAGTGTATCTACTACTTATCCCAGAAAGGAGGTGTTTTAAAAAAGCCCTACGCCCAGTAACTTCTCCCTTCATTCTTTACTCGAAAAAAGTGCTCGTATATGTTTTCATTTGCCGAGAGATCATTTTCAAAATATATTTATAATAAAAATATGCAAGTCTTGGTGATGAAAAATGTACCCCTAATAAATTATAAAAGTACATAAAAAAATAGAAACAAATTTTATTTATTTAAAAAAAAATCTCTCGCAAAAGCAGGTTCCTTTTTCTTCTTGAATCAATTATTTCGGGCAATAATGCGCCAAAGTAAAATCTGCCAAGTTTATCTGCCATCTTTTAACATATGTTTGTTCGTATTTATACATTTTTTCTATATTTATTCCTTTGGGTGTCCATACAACAAAATAAACTTGTGAAATACCCGTAACAAGCATTTGTCCCTGGACTTGAAAGTAGTAATCATGATTTTTTTTTAGTTTCAATTCTCTGTCTGTCAATGTACAAAATTTGATTATTTTTTTTCTAACCGCTCCTTCGGGAGACAAATCTTGCGATTTTGAAGGGCATTTAATTTCGACTAATGCACTCCTATCCTCTAGAACCCTGTCTGGACTAGCAGCCAAGTAAGGAAATTGTTTTGAAATAAACAAGCCACACCGTTCAGTTTTTATATTTTTATTTATTTCAAAACACTTGACAGCTTTTTCCTCACTTTGTTGTCCATAGTATGTATGACTATTATCTCTAAATGTACTGTACAACAGAGACTCCACAGTTTTAGCTATTGCTGTAGTCGGTCTAAGTTTGTAAATACGTCCAAAATTTGAAGCCGTAACCCTAGTTTCTCTTTCTTTTGCCCAAATGTGCCTGTTGCCTAGAGTCTATTTCAATTTGGTCTAAATTCAAAGATAATTTTCTCAAAAAAACCTCTTTGGCTATCACAAATGTATCTACATCCATGACAGGATTTTCTAAAAAATATTTAAACCATACGTAAATTTTTTTACGACATATTTTTTTACGAATACTTTGTCCAAGACGAGCTTGTTTTATAGACGAACATTATTTTTTTGTTATTAAACCAGGACCGTTTTAATCACAATATATTTACTTATCCCCTCTAAAAAATTGATGACGTCACCTCAAAATTTTGCTGAATAAATCCTATCTAAATTGTATTAAATATGATGAGTCTCTTCTTGTGATTTATCATTCCATTCATGTTTTTTGGATTTGCATATACAGGATGACCCCAAAAATTAATGAATGCGTAAATTTATTTTATTGATTTAATCAGGAACTACAAAACCGAATGCTTTGAAATCTAATGTGAAAAAAAACTTAATAGGCATGCAGTCGTCACGTTTCCGATAGCGAGGGAAGTACTGTCTAAACTCTTTAGACCAATTTTTTTGATTTTCCCATTTTTCCATTTCCCAATTTTTCAATGTTTCAGTTTGGGATTTTTTCACTGTTTCGATTCTTTAATTTTCCTTCCATTTTTAGGTTTTTCAATATTTCAGCTTTGGAATTTTGCAATATTTCGTTTCTTCAATTTTTCAAAATTTTGATATTGCGTTTTCTCCGTTTTTAAATTTTTCGATATTTTAATTTTTCAGTTTTTAAAGTTTTAGGTTTTTAGATTTCTCACTATCTCGACTTTTTGATTTTTCAGTTCCATCATTTTTCAATTTGTCGAATTTTTAAATTTTAGATTTTTTGTTCTCGATCATTCAATTTTCTGAGTTTTCAGGGTTAGATTTTTTTGTTGTTCAATTCTTGGATTTTTTAAATTTTTGTTTTTTAAATTTTCCTATTTATCAACTTACTGGGATTTCAATGTTTTGATTTTTTGATTGTTCAATTTCTCGATTTTTTGAATTTTTAGTTTTTGATACGATTTTTTTTTTCAAAAATTTTCAGTTTTTCAATTTATTAACTTTACGATATTTTAGTTTTACGATTTTTAAATTTTTTTATTTTTCAGTTTTCAATTTTTGACGTTTCTAAATTTTTCGATTTTTCAATTTTTCGATTAATTGATTTTTTGATTTTCCCATTTCTCTATTTCTTGATTTTTCAATTCTTTCTTCAATTGTGATTTTTCAATATTTCGATTTCTGGATTTTTCAGTGTTTCAGGTTTGGACTTTTTCACTTTTCCGATTCTTCAATTTTCTTTCCATTTTTCAGTTTTTCAAGATTTCAGTTTTGAATTTTTTCACTTTTTCGAATTTTAAATTTTCCTTCCATTTTTCAGTTTTTCAGTATTTCAGTTCTGAGATTTTGCAACGTTTCGGTTCTTCAATTTTTCCATTTTTTGATGTTTCGATTTCTGGGTTTTTCAATTTTTCGATAGGTGTTTTAATTTTTCAATTTTTAAGTTCTAGATTTTCCGTTAATTTTTTGTTGTTGATTTCTCGATTATTCGATTTTTCAAGTTCTCGGTTTAGATTTTTTGGTTTTCCAATTTTTCGATTTTTAAATTGTTTAATTTTTAGATTGTTCAATTTCTCGATTTATAGATTTTTCAATTTTTCGGTTTACCGATTTTTTTCAGAAAGTTCTCAAAATTGAAATGTTCTAAAATTGAGAAATGGAAAACTTGAAAAATCGGGAAATCTAAAATTCGAAAAGTCGGAACATTTTAAAAATCGAGTCACCAAAATGTCAAGACATTCAGACATCAAAAAATCAAACAGTCGAAAAATTGAAAAACCGAGAAATATAGAAATCGAAAATCCGAAATTTAAAAAATAGCGAAACTGAAAAATGGGAAGAATCGAAAAACTGAAAATTTGAGAAAATGAAACATTTCAAAATTGGAATAATGAAAAATTTGGATATCGAAAAACTGGAAAATCAAAAAGCCGAAAAGTCGAAAGGTTTTTCGATCTTTCAGCGAAACCCGAAAATCGAAAAATTAAAAATTTTAAAAATCGAAAAATCCAAAAGCGAGGAGTCGAAAAACTTAAAAAAAATGGAAAGTTAAAATATGGAAAAATTAAAGAATCGAAGAATTAAAAAATTCAAAAATCTAAAATTGAAAAATCGATACATAAATCGAAAATTTAAAAAATCGTGAAGTCGGAAAACTGAGCAATAAAAAAATCTGAACATCGAAATCTCTTTAAATCGAGGAAAACAAAATTGAAAAATGGGAAAATTATAAAACCGAAAAATGAAAACTAACATTTAAAAAAAATTGAAAAATCAAAATCTCGAAAAATTGAAGAATGAAAAAATTGAAAAATCGAGGAATTGAAACAGCAAAAAATTGAAAAATCAAAAATTTGAAAAATCAAAAAATCGAAACAACGAAAAACTCAAAAAAACAAATAATATGAATCGAAAAGTTGAGAAATCGAAAAATCGAAAAATTAAGAAATCGAAATAAACTAAGACCGAAAAATTGAAAAATTGGAAAATTTAAAATTAAAATTAAAAAAAAGAAAAATCGAGAATTTGAACAATGAAAAAAACGAAACATCGAAATCCTGAACAAATCGAAAAATAGAAAAATTGAAAAATCGAAAAACCGGAAAATCTAAAAATTAAAAATTTTAAAAATCTAACAGCAAATTGAAAAATTCAGAAATCTAAACAGCAAAAAATTGAAAAATCAAAAATTCGAAAAATTGAAAAATCGAGAAATACCTATTATAGAAATCGAAAATCTGAAATTTGGAAAATTGCAAAAACTGAATAATCGGAAAAATGGAGAATTAAAAAACTGAAAAATCGATAAATTGATACATTTCAAAATTGAAATAATGAAAAATTTGGATATT